AGAGGGGCTGCTGAATGTCACATAAAAGGTGTATCTAAGTCAGAGTAAGAATGAATCATGAGTGAGAATGAGATTCTTGTTCAACTATATGACTTTCTTAAAACCAGGTGCATGAGCCTTTAGAGAAAGTAGGGCATGATTTACTGCTCTTCACTGATGTAGACACACACACTTTGGTTTGACCACCATGCTGTATTTGCTGGCTGCAGTATTAATAGCAAGCTGTAGACTATAAAGTGACTGCTCAGCACTTAAGATGTTCCAAAAAGCTCCATCCAAAGTAAAACAGTGTGTGTCCATTGATTCTGCACAGACTAGAGAGCAGAATAACTTAACCATCAATGCTTTAAGCATATGAACTTTGACAGATTCAACTTCTGTGTAACAGAAAGCTGCTTACATAAGTGATTTGAAAGACAAATGTAACTATTTAGGTTAAAATAGTCAGTCTGGGATTAAAGATGTTTGGATAAGCAGTGTTACGATTACTTCAAATGGAATAAAATAGGAAAGGACCAAAATACCCTAAATGAATTGATGAAATAAAGACAGATACAGAGAAGATTTTTCTATTACTTATTTCAGCAAAAAATATAATTGTTGTATTTTAAGATTCTGGGGAAAAAAATAACAGAGGTTTGAAGCTGCCATTTCACTAAAAACAAAACAAAGCTTTATGCAAACCAGGTTACCTTGTATTTTTTATATTCACCAGAATGAAACTTCACAAAAAATTCCCAAAATATGGTTCACTAAGAAAAATAAATGAAATATTCAGACTAAAATTTATTCATGTGATCCACAGAAATACTGACTATTTCTAATATATCGTTCTAACTTTCAAACAATTGACTCTTATAGGATATTAAATTATTTATTTAAGTAGAGTAAGAGGACAACTAATGTAATCATACATTTAAGGTTTTTTACCATACATCAACATGCTTAACAGTTGAAAGTTTCTGAAGAAACTCTGATTCTGTCAACTTCAAAAAGTGTCACTAGTTTCAGTGGGGCAGGAGTTCATTTTTCATGTGAACCCAGAGGAATTAGCTGTAGCTGTGGACCACTAGAATGGAGAGGAGTGAGATGCTGGATGTATGGTTTAGGGAAACAGAGTGAAGGGAACTTTAGTTTAGACCATTATAATCCAAAGATCTGGACATATATTTCCAGGGCTTAATTGACAGCTTTAAAATCTTCTTATGTCCGCATATACTGTAACACTACTAAGACCTTTCTGTTATACCTCAGGAACCTCATTGTGTGTTTTCACACCTGAATTGCCTTGCCAAGATTTTGATTTCCCCCTCTTCCTTCCCTCCCTCTCTAGTGTGGGGAAGACCTGTAAAAATCACATCCGTATTAGAGTATGTTTTTACTGCAGGGTTAATTTGGGTTCTTCTACATTGGAAAACGTGTTAACTTAAGTGAGAATAATCAGACTGTGAAACAGTACTCAAGCTGTGTGTCTACACACCTTCTGTCCTTGTTTGCTTGTGAAAGTAAAATTTCTAGAGGTGTAGTGCCAGAAGACGCTTTGCATGCACTCTGAATTTTCTCATATCTGGAGGCATGAGGAAGGTTTGTTCTTTCTAGGCACACCAAAGGGATTGTGGAAAACATTTTAGAAGTCAGGCCCTTAGGCAGATCTAGCCTGTACCCACAGTGAGGAATGCTTAGGTTAGCAGCTGGCAAATCATGCTAACTGTAGTTTTTATCTATACAGCAGACAATATCAGTTTAATGGACTATGTGTGCAGGTGGAACTCAGATCAGGAATTACAATTTAAACAAAATTCACAAGGCAGACAAGGTTTTATGGGTATCTCTACATAGTACTGTCTAACGCTGCAAAGAAACATATGAATTAACCATTAAAATGAATATAAGTACATTAATATAGTTCTGATGGTCAGAGAATATTTATCAGAACTGGCATCCTCATATCTAGGATGGATATCTAACTTAGACACCACATTGTGCAATAACGACAATCCCTACAAAGAATAATTAGAAAGTGCTTACAGAGTTTTTTGGGGAGGGCACAATAAATGCTAAGTAATCTTTATTAATAATAAAAAAAGTTTGTAAACTGAGAGGATAGATGAACTGGAAAACCTTTCATTATTCTAATCATCATCTCCTAATGACAGCTGGCCTGCTTCTCTTACTTCCTTGTATCTTGAAAAGTCACTAACACTTCTGCAAAGAAAGCATAATGTTCTGAAAGGTAGTATTTTACATCCACTGTGCTCAGCTGAAAATTACTTTATGAGATCTAAGATAGTGAAGGATTGGACCCAGATGAAAGTACTAATAGTTAAGGCTCATATTTCTACATGACCTGTGATGAAAGACAAGAAGGTGCTGCATCTCCAGAGACTTTGGGGGATGTTCGGGAAGTGATATAATTAATAACTAACTGTTCAATTTGACAACACTTAATCTAATTTTCTCAGGCTTGCGTCCTACAGATTATTTATAAATTAGATTGGTGGTCATAGTAACTATTCCCCTGAGTTTGAAAAGTGAAGGGAGCCCAAAATGACTTCTACTTTTCACAGCAGGGTCAATTGAGCACATCATCCTCCTCAGCAGGATAAAATGAATACGGTGCAGTCTGCTCAGGGGAAAATAAATTCTGTTTCACATAATAATAGTAAATGAGCTGGGGAAGACTCTGTAAGTTTAAAGAGGAAAGTAGTGTCCTTTAAATCTACAGCAAAGCCCCTGCACCATTTCAGCTTGTGCTGAACCTCCCCTGCAGGTGACATAGCCAGTCTGACCACATGGCTGCAACACATCATCATGCACCTCCCTATGCACATGGCCTGGGTCCTTTGCACCCTCTCCCTCACCTTGTAACAGAGCATCAGCAGCCTCATGAGGCAAAGGACTTTTCATGTCTCTTCACAGCAGAAAAGCAGCAGAGATCTCTATGCAAGTTGTTGAGATGAGATGTAAATTCTCATTCTGTTTCTATTCTGAGAAACAACAGCTGCATCATAGAGAAGCAAAGTTTTTGGAAGTTCATTTCATTGCCAAAGAGAAAAGGTGCTTGTCTTTACTTCCAGATACATATTCAGTGCAGAGTCAGAAAGTTAAGCTGCAGACCAAAATTCAAAGTGAAGATAATACTTTTATCTTTAACAGGCTTGCAGAGGAATTATTTCAGGAAGAACTGAAAATATATATGCCAACAAGAATAAATTTCAAGTCACTCACATAGCTGTGACTTCTGTGACTTGTAGGAGGAAATCATAAAAACTTCTTTTCACCACCAAATTAACAGTGGACTACTTTTTTTTTATAAGTACAGTATCACAATTTCTCAAACTCCACTTTACAATGCAATTTCTTCCTTCAGAAAAGTCCTCCAGAGGTCTTTTGCAGGCATTGTATTACTACCAGGCTTCAAAGCCTGATCTGTACTGATTCATGGGACTGTTTAATCTATGATCCACAACACCCTTTGGCAAGGAGTCCCACAGCTCAACCACACATAACGCAAAGAGCCAAGTCCTTTCATTTATTTCACACCTCAATTTTACTAGCTTGTTTTTTAAAAAATGTTTTTTACATTGCAAACCACTGTATGATGGTTAACATATGGATGCTCTTAATATATTACTTCCAACTTTGGTTATTCAAAATTCAGAATTATTATGTTTTCTTTATAACAGTGTTAATATATTTATTAATAAAATACATAATAATATATTTGATGATTTATATATACATACATATGCACACATGCAATAAAACTTAATATGGTATGTGAAACACTATACAATGCTGCATACTAGGAGTGTACAACACCAAGTTACATAAACAGTCAAAAAATAACATTTGATTTGTCATGATCTCTTTATCAGTTTGGTGGATTGTGTGAGATTTTCCTTTTATTTTCATCAGGTTCATAGAAAAAAGCTCTTGAGAATCTAAAATTAGAATGATTGTAGCTTATCAGTTTCATTCATTAAATAACTGAAAGCATATGCTTTTACGAGATTAAGTGAAAAAACTGAAACAATTCTTATCTACAGTTTAAAGCAATCTACTTGGAAGAAATGAATGATCTGCAGGTGACTACTAAGGCTGTGTGATTTATTGATTTATTTTATCGACTTAGCAAGCAGCAGAGCAGACATGATACTTGTGACCTGATGAGAAAAAACTGAGTCTGCACAAGTGGGTCCGAGGTACCTCTCAACTCCGTCTTGCACAAGGAGAAAGAACAACCTTTTCCAGCTATTTACTGGGGGAAGATTTTCATACCTGCGATTCTGTGTAAATCATTGAGGTGGTAAATGACGGCACGCACCTAAATTCACGCGCTTTCAGGGGGGACGATGGAGACAAGTCCAGGCAGCCCCACCGCAGCCCGGGGCCAGCCCGGGCTCCCAGCCGGCGCAGCGGCGCTGCCCGGCACCGCGCCTGGATGCCGAGTGTTCGTGGCGTTCACGTCCCCTGCCCGGGACAGCCCACGGGACAGCGGAGTGGAAGGAGGGTGAGGTGATGCCAGGGACAGGTGGAAGCGCAGCCAGAGGCGGGCGAGGAAGGGACGTTACCTGCCGACATCGAGGACGGGAAAGTTGGGCGAAGAGAAGGAGAGCGGTCAGAGCACCCCGCCGCCTTCCCCTCCGTTCCCGGCTGCTCCGCCCGGGGTTGCCGGCGTTGCTCCCCTTCCCGAGGCGGCGAGGGGCAATGTCCTCCCACCCGCCGCCGCCCCCGCTCCGGCCCTACCCCTCCTCCGCCCCCCTCGCACCGCCTCCCCCCCCCGCCGGCGGAGGTGAGGCGAGGCGCAGCGCCGACTGCGGCGGCCGCACGGGAGGAGCGGGGTGGCGGGGACTGAGCGCGGCGGCCGGCTGCATCCACCGCCCAGCCCGGCGCTGGGGACAGCCATGGGGAGCAGCCGCCGCTCCAGCTGCCGCGGAGAAACTCCCCTCCGGATGTCGGCTGCGGGTGGCCTGGTCTGAGCAGGAGGGGGAGGAGGGAGAGGAGGAAGGGCCGTAGCAGCGGCGGACTGTGCAAGTTGCGCTCTGCCCTTCTTCTCCCCGGTCCGTCTCCCACCCGCGGAGCAGCATGCGGACTGGCCTCCGCGCTTTCTCAGATGTGCTCTGGCTGCCGCCGCCTTCAGTGCATCCTGCTGCTGGCAGCGCTCACCCGGGCGCTGGATGAGACGGGAGCAGGGACATCGCTGCTGCGGTTCCGCCCGCTCCTTCATGCGGGCTTCTGCTCCGGCGGAGGTCGCACCGCCGCCGCGGAGGAGCCGGGCTGCCCTCCCACCCCGCGCCCGCCCGCCCGGGGGGCCCGCATGGCGTGCTACCTGGTCATCAGCTCCCGGCACCTCAGCAACGGGCACTACCGCGGCATCAAAGGCGTCTTCAGGGGACCGCTCTGCAAGAAGGGCGCTCGCTCGCCGGTAACTGCCACCTCCTCGCCCCCTCCCTCACTTGCCCCCCGCACGGTAGGAGCGGTGCGGGCGGATGCCCACGCTGGGGGCGGCCGGCGCGGCGCGGCTGCGGGGGGCGAGGGGCGTGGGCGCCGGCTCGGTCCCGCTCTGCGGGGCCCCGGTGTGGGCGCTGCCTCGCCGGGCGGCTCGGAAAAGTTTCTCCGTCGGCGGCTGCCTGCGAGTGGCCGCGGGGACGGGGCTGGGGGCGGTGCTGGCGTTCGGCAGTGGGGCGGGGGGGCTACGGCTCAGCTGGGGTTATCCGTGGACCGCGTCTCGGGCTCGTGCCCAGGGAGAGGTTAATTTCTGATGCTTTGGTGAGAAGTTGGAGGCTGGTAGAGGGGAAGGCGCCGTGTCGGCTCCAGGTGTCGCGGTTTAGTACCTTGTCCAAGGTTTTGACGCGGCGGAGGAGGGAAGCGATCGTTCTTGTGGATTCGTCTGCCAAAAAAATGCACTTGAGAGTTTGTCTGAGGCGCGTTGTGAGCTACCTGTCTAGACCGACGTCTAGGTAGAACATGCGTGAAGTTTGGGGCGGTCCTGCGGAGACTGCAGACCCGTCGAGCTACCCTAGACGGTGTCCGTGAGTCGCTGAAGGCGTTTCGAAGGGGCGAACGGGAGTCCTGTGCTGCCGGGGACAGCGGGTGCCGGGGGGGCCATCGCGCAGGTGCCCAGGCGGCGACGATGCCCCGCTGCCTCTCCTCCTCCTCTCCGCCTGCCTGTGGCATCGTAAGCGCCTCCGTAGTCACCACCGAACTTTCCCTGTCACCGTGCCGGGTAGTCGGTGTGTGCCATACGGAGGGGTACGGACGTGCCATCCGCCGAGCCTGCCTTGCGCGAGTACCAGGGACACCTTGAGCCCACTGGTGGGATTCCCTGAGCTTCGGCAATGCCAGGTTGTGCCCCGCCACACACCTGCACCCTAAAATACCTTACGGGAACTAAAGTCTGCTTTCTCTTTCTTGACTTCCAATGAACAAAAATGACACATATTTCACTATGCTTCCAAAATCCCTTCTGTATTGTGCACTAGCATTCTGATAGAGCACTTGCAAGTTCTTCCCTTGTACTGCTGTGTCTGTCGTGTGCAGTGTAACACAACTGCGCCGCAGGTATCATCTATCAGTCATTGGCTGAGCTGCGTTTGTCTTCTTTGACCCATGGAGCTGATTCACTTTCCACTTTCCACTCCTGAAATGCAGGCAACATTTGCTGAGATCTCTGTTCAAAATTAGGTCAAAAGGAAAAAAGATCTCAAAGATCTAAAATGGGAGCAAGCTTGATTGTAAATACTTCTGATTTAGTAGAACTCAAACAACTGATGTTCAAGTCGAGTAGTATCAGAAGCCTGGGAAGAGACTATCCTCTGAATATTGTGCTCCAAATCCTTCACTTTCCAATTTCTTTCCCTTTTTAACTGCCTAGTGAGTATGCACACCACTCCTCTCCATCTAAATACTTCATGAAATTTGTCTGACTCCACTAACAAGTCATCATTTTAAACACGGGTCCACTAACAAATAGTCATAGTCCTGCTACCAGGTGGGAGCAATTTTTGTTAATATGTAAGTAACAGAGAAGACCAGTGAAAATTCATGTTCCTTATTCTTTAAAGGTGTATTTTTAAAGGATTTTGTTTTAAATTGAGCCATCTTAGTCTTAAGACAACCATCTAGGGTTTAGTGGAAAAGGGAAAAAGCTATGAAGTTGAAAATTAATCTCAAGTCTCTTTCACTGTATAGAAATGCTCTTTCATGTGAGCTTTCCAGAGTTTGAAAAAAGTAGCAAGGACACTTCGTATTACTTTTCACTAAGACAGAACATCTTGTTTCCTAAATTTGTATTACCAGGAGTTGCTGTTTTATATGTTTTGGGGCCTTTCATACAGAAAGGACTGAATTTTAGCGATCCTTAGCTTTCATTCGGAAATTCTTGAGGGAAAAATTTTATTTCTCTACATACATTTATTTTTTAAATTTTTTTTCTTTGTTTTCTTCTGCCTTTTTTTAGTGGCAACTCTTTGAAGCTAGTCAGGCTTTTGGGGTCATAGGCTAAGCCCTTTGGAGAGGGAGTGTTGGACAGCTCATGGGAGTAAAGGTGCATGATAAAGTTTTATTAATGCTGAGTAATTGTAGCTTTGTAACTTTTTTTCATGTGTTTGATATTTTGAATTTACTATTGGTTTATATAGGCTATTTTCATATTTTGATACGGAAGGTCAGATTTTTAGGAGATAAATAAAGGATGCTCAGTTGGCACAGGGGGTATTAGTTTGCTATTAAATACTGAAAGCAGTGAGTAATTTGCATGTCCCTACAAATTTGTAACTTTCCAGACCATATCCTTCTTCCTTATCAGTGTGCATAAAGTTGGTAACAGTGAACAGCAAAAAACACCACCTGGACACATTTTGCATTATAGATGTGGGAGTCATGCATATTGAGATTTAGTATTGACTGAGGTAGTAAAATCGTTTTAAACATGAAAAAAATGCCCCACACAATGCAAACAAACTGTCTGACTATTAAGTTAAACTTGGGACCTCTTCTTATACTTAAGAAGGAAGACTTAGGCAAGTGGCATTTATTGTATTCCCTGTGCTGTACTTTTATTTAATCCCTCCTGATTATAACTTTGAATGATACAAGTTATTTCTTGCAGTCATTTTTAAAATGTTGAATTGGAAGCAGCCTTGAAGATTTGATTTTATCATTTGTACCATTAAACAATCTTCTGTTTGTACACTATAAGTGATCTTATGCATGGGTCTGCGTAGCCTTTAATGGATAATATGTACCTTTCTATATTTAAAGTGTTCTGTATTAACAGACCATGAAATGTCAGTAGACTTAAGGCTATGCTTTAAGAAATGAGAACAGTGGTGAATATTTTAAACACCTTTATCAAATTTCATGGTTTTATGAACAAGGATTTTTTCAGTCTGGGTGTTTATGTAGCATTTATTTATCATACTTTGCTATTATTGTACCAGAAGCAATTGTGGTCCTTCTTCCTGGTATGCAGAGAGACCTTTTGCTGTAGCAGTTCCAATGAGAACAAGATACGTAGAACTATAAGGATAAGACACTTTGGGTATGTAGTGAATTTGTCGTGCTGTTGTCATAAAATCCTTTAAAAATTTTACCTTGCCTTTGCTCACTTTTACGTATCAGAGAAGGGACTAGCTGTGAATATTGTGAAATTAGTAGTGATGAATTCAGAAAGAGTGGAATTAGAAGCAGTCACCAGTGATCCTTTATCAGGGGAGTCTGATGGAGTTACATGAAAAAGGAAATGCTGAGTTTGAACATGAGGCCAACATTACTAAGGATAATGGACAGTAAACCCATGAAGGAAGCTGCTCATTTTAAAGCACAGCTGATTATGTGCTTTAAGCTTTTATAATTTATGTGAAAAGTTATATTCAGGAGCATTTTATGAGCAAACTTTCTGTCTCTGAAAATTGCTGTTTAAGGAAATCCATTATGATGCAGAGATATTACTTACACTTCAGAGTGATGCTATTGTCTGCAGGTTTTTTGAGTCCTGAATAGATTACATTGATCAGTGCACTGGTTTTACTTTTTGAAGTCATGATAGATAACGCTGTCATACTCACCTGCAGCCCAGCCTGCTCAGAGATTTACTGCCATGCTTCACAAGTGTGGCAAAGCTGGCACTGAAAAGGACTTGCCTGCAAAACTTTTAAAGAAACTTCCAGGATGCAGCAGAAAATGGTACTGGGAATTCAGCAGATGGCCCCCTTGCTTCTGAATAATTTCTAAGCCAAGGATGTTATTAGGGTACACTGTTCTTCCTGTGGCTTTTTAAGATAAGATATAAACAAAGTCTCGTTTACTACTCGGTATTTAAAGATCCCTTTGTATTTTGAAGGAAATAGAAGGCTCAGAAGACCCAGTGCCTTAGCCAATTTCTGACTTGGCTAATTATTTTTCTTCCGTTGTTCCCTGCAGCTTCAGCTGAATACAGTATTTTTCATGTACTTCTCTAAGCTGTTTTCAAATAAAGCTGTCAAGCAGCTGCTCTGTTGCACTTGGTGCTTGCCTGAGTTCTTTGGGTTGTTGGGGGCAGGAAAGGCTTTTCTGTTACACAGAGTTACCTTTAAAAAAGCACAGCTCTCGCCCCCTGTCCAGAGGCTGCTCCAGCAGTTCTAATTAAGTACATTGCAGGTACGTGAAAATAATGACGGTTTGGTTGATACTGAGCCATAAGCAAGCTGTTTTAGCACTAAAGCAAATATAACCAGGACTGGGTAGCACCTTTGCACTCTCTGAAGCAGACAACAACACAAGGTGCTTGGAAACTTTGAAAACGTAAGTGAGCCTGGGGATGAATGAGTGTAAATAGAGAATGGGAGGGACACAGCATGGGCAGCTGTCTCTGTCTGCCTGAGATCAATGCTAGAAACACAGGCATAACCAAGTCTACCACAGAGTGACAGTATTGTGTTTGCCACCAGCCAGTGGCAAACATGTGCCAAGCACAGTTGTCAGAAAGCAATTTAAGGGCTAGACATGGTGCATGCGTACCATGTGAAATATGGGTTAGGTGACAGCAGGTTAAAGGAGGAGCCACCATATATCTGGGTGATTACTGGAACACCAGATAACTTGTGCATCCTTTAGCGCTGTGACTGCACTCTCAACAGCACTGAAAGAAGAGAGGAAGGGTATGCTGGAGCATTAGAAAAATGCATGAAAAGTAAAATTTAAGTTAGGAAATAGAGTCTAGAGGGGCCGATAATAAACCAGAAACTCTAATAAATAGTCCTACAAAAGGAAAGGGGGGAAAAACCCCAACTGCACTAACAAAATTTTGTGGAAAGAAAAAAAGGGGAAAATGGTAAAGGAGATGGAAAATCGTGCTTTCAGTTTTCTGTGCCAAAAATCTCTGGCAGCTCCCTCCAGCAAAAGTGGCTGCCTGCCAGGGGGGATTGTGTGCACTCTTCTGAAGGC